GTTATATCACTCAGTAGACAAGTGCTTGCCTAGTATGTACAAGGCCCTTGGGTTCAGTCCCTGCATGCCCTCCCAAATGGCTTGAACTCGTACCATCATCTTTTGAAATATACTTCTCACATTTTATTGTGCTTTTTATTCAGAACAGTCTTTTTCAAGGAGGGACTAGGAAAATTATAATAAAATGTCATTATCTGCTTCGGAAATGGCAAGGAGCTATTAATGCTTTTTGTATTGGGGAACAAAAGGAAAAATCTGGAACTTACCTGAAGCTTATGTGGCTATTGGATTGTAGTATTCAACGATACTTAACTAGATCATCTTACCTATGAACTCACTTTTAATTTTCTTAAGGTTTGGGTTTTTGGGTTTTTTGGGGGGAGGATCTTTTTGAGATAGAGACTGGCCTTGAACTCACAGAGATCTGCCTGCCTCTGCTGGGACTAAAGGCATGCGCCACCACACCTGGCTGACCCCCCCCCCCAATTTAATGTGCTTTATTATATGCTGGGAGAGGCAGAGAGTCTCTTTCAGGTATGGGACTCTTGGTGGGTTAACCAGGCTCCAGTGGATGGACCCACACTGAAGGACATGTGGAGACACAAATTAGACTCTGGTAGTTTTGACGTGGTTGTTCTGTTTTGTTTTGCAGTGTTAGGAGCTAAACCCGCAGTTTTGTGCATGCTAGGCAGGCACTCTACACTGAGCTGTGCCCCTAGCCCTTTGTGTGGTATGTGTGTCTATATGTGTCTGTAATGGTTTCCCAGATAACTCAGAGGCATTTCTGAGAAGATTCTTCATAGTCAGCAGTCATCAATGACTCATTTTACTTGAGGAAGATGGCACTATAATTGCTTTTTTTTTTTTTTTGTCTAAACTTGGTTCTTTTTTATTTTCAGGGCTATGAGGGTTCTCTTATAAAACTCACATCTAAACAGGTAAGAATTTCGAGCTTTTAAGCCTAACAGTCTTTTTTAGAAAACTAGGATTTATGTGTTTTCACCTTAAAAGTGAAATTGATTGGGAATTGGTACAGGAAAATGCTACAGGCATAAAATCTCATAGTCTACAGGTAGGATGTTTGAAGCTCAGAGAGGCAAACACAGTGCCTCCCATTATTGAGACTAATTTGGGTTTTTTCCAAAGGAGATTGTTATCCAGATTCACATACATTGACAATTCTTTTCCAGTGACTTTTTATGAGGTTAAACAGAAATATTTTTCAGTTGATATGAGCATTAGATGGTGAAGAAGCATACTATCTATCAAACCATTAAAAGCCACAGACAGTCCCAGCTACAGAATGAAGTGCAGAAGGGACCTGTGGAGGTGGTGACCAGTGGTCCCAGAGTTCTTTTGAGCTTCTTGGAGATTGGCTAAATGCTTTTTATCTTTTAAGCTAAACACTTGGCGCACTCATTTCTCAGTCAACTTCAGATGAACTAACTTGCAGGCATCCTGTTGCACTGAGCAATCCAGGGGAAGCATGGCCAGTTTATTCTGAACAATTACATGCCTAATTAAACACAAGTACTGTGTTCTTTGCGGGGGGGCGGGGGGCAATCCCTTGGGATGTGGGATGAGATGGAAATGTTCATTTTGGTCATGCAGTGAGAATAGAGATAGTGCTTTGACCATTGTGTCACTATATTCCTTGCACTTACAGTGTACCCAAAGGTAATTGGGTTCTCTTTCCATTTTAAAAAATGGAGAAACTGAGGTACAGTGAATTTGATTTAGAAAAGTAGAGCCTTTCCAACCCAAATTTCCTCTGTCCCTCGTTCATTGCTGCTCACCTTGCAACCACCTCTGAAATTTTTTTTTCCTTTTTTAAAAAATGATTTCCTAAATTCCTGGATGTGCCCTTGAAGAACCACCCTCACCATCCTTCTGACTCCTGTTAGAAATTTGGTTAAGCCACGGTCCTGATCCTTTGGGATGGACTCTTCCTGCTACCCACTGTCTGAGGTCATTTCTTTTTGGTCTTTTGAGACAGGTTCTCCCTGTAGCCCCAGCTGTCCTGGAACTCACTGTGTAGATCAGGCTGGCCTTGAATGAGGTCATTTCTTGACTTTGTTCTTCAGCTATGCATCGCCCTTGACCCAGAAGACAGATATCCCTGGGTTTTCCTTCATGCTTCTCTTTCTCTCCTCAGCCCGTAGGTTTCGTCAGTTTTGACAGTCGCTCAGAAGCAGAAGCTGCAAAGAACGCTTTAAATGTAAGTGTGCCCCAATGATGTGATTGTAGGGCATTTAGTAGGTGATGGGAAACTGTAGACCCTCATTGGATCGGAAGTCAGATGAAGAATGGCTGCAGTGCTAGGGTCAAAGCCTGGGCTCTGGCAGTGTTAACAAGCTGGGCTCTTGGCCCCAGCATGCCAACTAAAGAGACACGTGATAGTGAAAAGCAGAGAAAAGAGATCTATTCAGTGTCGCCGCACTGGCAAGAGGAACACGTAAAGAGACTATGGCTCCATCTTCGGGACTCTGACATGAAGTCTAGGTTTAAATAGGTAGGGGGCAGGAGGTTACATAGCTAGCTGCTCAAGCTGTGATCCTGCCCTTCATTGGCATCCTAGGTTCCTGTCTATCTTGCAGATGGTCAGCACTGTATGAAGTCTCGTTCTGGGGGACAAACTCCTCTGTTGGGACAAAAGACCCAGCCCTTTTCTTCCTAGGCTAGACTTGACGGGAAATTCCAGTGTCTTGGGGTCTTATGTCTAATTGGTCTGATAACTAAGGAGAGAGGCACAAGAGTCTGTCTCTCTTTAGAATATCTTTGCTGCAGAACTGGGGGTGTAGCTCAGTTGATATAGAGTGCTTGTCTAGCATGCACAAAGCCCTAGGATTGATCTCTAGCACAGCATAAATAAAACCCAGTGTGGTGATGCAGGCCTGTAATCCCAGAATGCAGGACTTAGACAGAAGAGGATCAGAATTTGAGGACAGCTGTGTGCTGCATGAGACCCTGTCTCCCACTCCCACCCCCCCTAAAAAAAATTCCACAAGAACCCCAAACCTGTGGATGTAGCTTAGTGGGCAAGCACTTGCCTAGCATGCAAAGGCCCTGACTTCAATCCCCAGTACTGCAAAAGAAAGAAAGAGAAAAGAATTGTTGTTACCCAGGTAACAGGTTATCCAGGGTGACTGCAGAAGAAATGGGCTTGACTGCTCAAGTCTACCAGAAAAGGATTTATCAATTTAATTAGGCCTCTGAGAGCTTTCTCCATGAATTAATATCAGATGGACAGATCATTAACACTTTGCCTTTCTCTGGCAACCTTGCTGAAATACTCAAAATATCAGTTGATGCTGGTCTTGTTCTAATTTGTCTCCGTCACCTCAGTCGGTGTTGTGTGGCTCTTCTCGTCTTCTACACCAGAGATTCAGATGATAGCCCAGCCATCATTGTGCTCCGAGCAGTGAAGCCAAGAATAAATAGCTCAATCTTGACTTTTTTTTATTTCATCGTATTTACCTTTTAGCTCTGTGACTCTGTTTTCTTGTTTAAACATGATTCTTTATTCCGATTGATTCAAACTTTGCAGATAAAGCTTTCTCAAGGCATTCTGTGTTATAATCAATTAAAATACAGTCGGTTGTAATTGAGCAGAGGTTCCTGCATGACATTTACTCTGCAGGCATCTTGTCTGCTATATACTTTGTAGCTTTTACCACCGTTCCTTTAGTAAATATTTTCCATTTTTATTCTGCTGAAAAACAAGAACAACTCAAGGAAATGAAGCCAATTGAAGGTGGAAGGGTGCTGAATTTAGTATTAGCTGCTGAAAATGGTCCTTAGATGAGGATTTTTCAATGAGGCCTGACTGTAGTGTGCCCCAGGCAGTAGACCTAAGCAACTTGGTGTATGAAGGATTCTTCCTAACAGGCAGGCAAATGTGCCTCTATGTATAGGCTTCTGGGAACTTATCGCTGTCTTAGAGTTGTTATGGTACCTGTAGCTCTCTGACAGCTGCTCCTGAGCAGACCTAAAAGGCTGTATGTGGGTAGACCAGATCCTCTGACTCAGAGGTCCCAGGGAAAGTGTTCATTTGAATGTTTACTCAGCACAATGATGTTGTGACACAGTCTTGAAAGAATTTTTGAATTTGAAACCAAAAAAAAAAAAAGTATGCCCTCTGTGTAAAGCACATGGGAATGAATATCTTAGGCTTCCAGGATCTTTCAGAACTCTAAAGTTTTTCTGCATTGGGTAAATGACCTCTGGTCAGAGTAACTGCCTGTGTGGAACAGTGCATGAACCAGTACTGAATACCAGCTTTGCAAGGCACAGTACATCACTGAAGATCTTAACACTAAAATTATGTTATGGAGCGTTCAGTGGCAGAGGGTTTGCATAGTGTGTACAAGGTCCTGATTCAGTTGCCCGCTCCACGGAAAGCATATTCTGTCATTTGCACCGTATAGTGACACAAGCAAAATATTCTCAGTATAACCAAATTCTAAACTAAAACTCTTAAGTTCTGTTTCAGCTGTAAATACACCTAACTAGGCAGAAATTGTCCAAATGCTAGAATATTCTGGCTGCTTTAAAACTGGCTTCTTTGTTCTTGTAAAGGAAGTAGTATCTGTTGAAGCTCTTGGCAAAATGGGGTCTCCTTACCTCACCTTATTTCTGGTGTGTCTATAAAGATGGCACTGACTTAGGGAGTGCTTTAGTTTCTTTCTATTGCTGTGATAAAAACACTGATCAAAACCAAATTGGGGAGGAAAGGGTTTATTTTCTCTTACATCTCCCAGTTCATCATCCAGGGAAGCCAGGGCAGGAACTCAGGGCAGGAACCTGAGCAGAGACCGTGGATGAACCCTGGCTTGCTCCCCTGGCCTGTGCTCAGTCTGCATTCTCATTCAATACAGGACCACCTGCCCAGGGGTGGCACCACCTACAGTAGTCTGGCCCTCCCACAGCACTCAATAATCAAGAAAATGCCCCACAGACATGGCCACAGGCCAGTCCAATGGAGGTAATTCCTCAGTAAAGTTCCCTCCACCCAGGTCGGTCAAGTTGACAACTGAAACTATCTGGTACAGGAAGTTGACTTTTGCTTTTAATAAATGAAGTTTATTGTTTTAACATGTGATGATAGTCAAAATCTGTGATCCTTCCTCACCATACCAAGTAGAATACAACAAATATAATTTCAATTTCTGTTGGTGCTCGAGGGCTTTCCATTTTCCCCCATGTCGCCTAGCCCTTGGCCGCTGTGCTTTCTGATGCTAAGGTCTGGTTAAATTATATGAGTTATTAATCTCCTTGTGCCCAGCTCTCCTTCCTTCTCAGTGGCAGCAAGCCTTGTGGCAGTGCATCCTGTCCCCTAATCATGCTTGTTGATTGCTAAGAACCCCAAATAATAGCAATCTGTATTATTTGTTAGGTTTTTGTTGCTGTGATAAACTAAACACCATGACCAAAAGCAACTTGGGGGTGGGGTGGGGAGAGTTTATTTGACTTGCAGGTTGTAATCCATCATCAAAGGAAGCGAAGGGAGGAACCTGGAGGCAGGATCTGAAGCAGAGACAACTGAGGAACACTTACTGCTTTGCTCCCTCTAGCCTGTGCTCAGCCTACTTTTTTATATAACCCAGGACCCACCTGCCTACGGGTAGCACTAGGCACACTAGTCTGGGCCTTCGTACATCACTCAACAGTCAAGAAAATGCCTCACAGACATGCCTATGGGACAGTCTGATAGAGGTTATTTCCCAATTGAGTTTCCCCTCTTCCCAGGTGTGTCAAGTTGAGAACTGAAACTATCCAGCACCCAGTCTAGTTCTATAGATCTAAGGGAGCTCTGTGTTCACATGGGGAGCAATGAACCTGGTCTTTCTGCTGCTCAGCACTGACTTTGTGAGTGCATGGCATTAGCTGAGCTCTTTCTTGATTTTTGTATGTAATATATTTGAGTTCCGGGGCTGGAGAGATGGCTTAGTGGTTAAGAACACTAGCTGTTCTTGCCAATGTTTGAATCCCAGCACCCACATGGCAGCCAACAACTGTCCATAACTCTGGTTCCAGGGGATCTGACACCCACTTTTGGCCTCTGCAGGCATTGCACAACACGGGTGCACTCAAACACATGCAGGCAATACACTCATATGCACAAAATAAGTAAATAAAAAAATTTATTTATTTATATATTTGAGTTCCTGTGCACCTTAGAAATATCCCCAGCATTATAGTTAGGGAAACAGACCTAAAGAGAGTGAGTGCTTCAGCAAGGATAGCATAGAGATGCAACTTGGAGCTGACACAAAGCCAGATTCCTACATATCTGGCCTGTGCTTCACGCAGCAGGATGCTGCTTGTTCTGCCATGGCTTGTCACTACATAATTCCTGGTGACAGGAATGGATTACTTAGTTCCCATTGTCCAGGACAAATGGTCATAGTAGAGTTTAGTATGTGACCATGGAGCTTGGGTTATCTTGCTCTGCAGAGAAAATGGGCCTGGTCAAGGTAATGTACTTACTGATGTACTAATATTTACCTTTTCTAGGAGCCCACCCATTGGGAGCTTTTCAGGACCATCTTTTGAAGTGCCAAGTTCAGAAACTCCGTACACTCCCCAGAGCCATGACAAAACTCCCCTTCTTGAGTCGTTTGTCCCGGCTTCTCTTCAAAGCATTTCCTCAGATTCCTTGGGGAACAGTTAAATGTTGTAATATTTTGTTGTTTTATTCCACTGTTGAGAAACGTAAACCTTGATCTAGAAAGTCTATACAGAATAGTTGACGGTGTCACGAACCGTCTCCGTGTTTGGAGACTTTTTTCTTGTTATTCTCTATCTTGGTGACTCTTTGGTTCAGTAATTAACGTCAGTCTTCTGCAAATGAGTGGTTTTAAAATCCGTTTGTTTTTCTGCCACGTTTGTGCTGAGCATCAGTCAATGAGACAGTCTTTTGGGAAGACATGCTTATGTCATGGTGGCCACCAAGCTGTTAGTGGAGGTTGTTCAAATCTCCTAAAATGAAAAGAGGATATTTTATTTTATAGCAAAAGCTCCCAAATCAGGCTAAGAAGAATCCAAACCTAGAGTTCCCTTCATGTTACTTACCGTTCCCTTAGTTACTTGATTAAAAAACTCGTCCTTTCTTTAAGATGACAGCAAAATATCTAGGCCATTCTTTGGCCTTTGACACATTTGTTATTTCTGTACATTTCTTTCCTTGAAAATTGAGGAAAGAGATAATTAGTATCA